AAGTAAGATTAGTAGTGATCAAAAGCGCTTTTTATCGCATTAAGCCTATACCCCCTCTTTCATTTTTCGCGAGCACTCCCTTTAAAAGCATCAAAACAACAAATCTCAATTGCACATTTATGCCATTTTTTCTACGGATTTTTAGCGGCAAATTCGAGTCAGAAAATCTTTAAGTTTGGTGAAGCGAGTAATAAACTTTTGTTGAAAACAGCCAAGGCAAGTTTGTGATTAAATTCCCGCTTCAAGAAAAATAATCTGAGAAAGAATTTTTACCTTTTGCGGCTGCACAATTAGCTGAAATTGCAGCATTTTCACATGAAGTTCAATTTCCCCACCCATTTCCCCCATATCGTTTATTTTCCCGCTGTTTTATTTGTTTCAACTCCCCTCCCTACCCAGTTCTTGTTTTTGCGGTGTTTTCAATGCTGGAATTTTGCTGAATTTCGAGCAAAAACTTGTTATTTTTTCTGTAAAAGGGAAATAAGAAAGTTTACTTTGTGAAAAGAATGATTAGGGTATAATAGGGATTAGTGTGGAATTTCATGACGGACAAAATAGGTAAAATATAAAAATGTAAAAAAAATTTTTATTTTAATTGTATTCTTTATTTTAATTGATAGTGGGGGACCCCATTCTTGAAAATATTTTTTATAAAGTATAAATATCCATGGAGAAAAACTTAAATATTTGATATGATTAGATATTCAATCAGAGTTCTTTTAATGTATTAAATAAGCGGCAAATTAACATCATATGTTATACAGGGTGTCTATAATAATAATGGAAATTTTTTGACCGATTTTTGTCATGGACTTGCGGCTATTGCAGTATTCAAGTTAAACAACTGAATTCAAATATGTGGTCGGCCATTATTGTAACTTTAAATTGAAGAAGATGAATTGCAAAACTTGTGAAGATTTTATTTTATGAAATAGAAGTATTTAATAAAGAACCTGTCAAATCATTCGTTGGGATGTTTAGAAAGATGAAAATTTCCCTGTATAATAATTGAAGGACTGCAGTATGGTTTTGATGAATTATATTGACGTACTAAGCCTAGGGGTGTCAGAAATGATTTTTTGCATTTTTTTGAAAACGTCCAATAAACCTAAAAAAGTTTAATTTTGATAAAACTGTTTGTTCTGGATGATTGCAAATATCTATCTAAAACTTTCTTAAACCGGCATATTTTTTCTATATTCATTTAGTTAAGAGTTTGAGTTAAAATAAGTATTAATAAATATTGCTTTATATCGAGTAGATATCCTTATACATAGCGATGTGAAACCTTTCAGAAAGTAGGAAAGATTCTGCAGAAAAAAGTTGCCAAACCAAACATTATTTTGATCAAAAATATTTAGAACTTATATAGAAGCTTTTCTGGGTTGCACTTTACTCTAGTTTTGCATTATTTTCATTTGTGTAAAACAGTATAAAAGAGGTTCCGTTGATGGCTTAAAACTAAACAGCTGATGATTCATTGGAGGGAGGAATGGCAAAAACACCAATTTGTAATTCCCAAATCTTTTTATGGAAAGTGATGGAAACAGGGTATACAGAGTGCTTCAGGGTACAGGGTACTACAATGTACTGCAAAGTACTGGGCTTAAAAAATTGACAAATTTCAGAGTTTTAAAATTTATTTTGCTCTGTTGAGTTTTTTTTTCATGGAAAACATTTGTAAATAAGGACAATTTTGGTTTACAAATATTAATATGTTTCAGCAAATAAAAAAAGTGGAGGAAAATTTATCCTGAAGAGAAAAAAGAACGGGGATAGTTCCAAAGAGAATAGAATATATATTAGAGTGGAATTTACTAGAAAAAAGTGTAAAACGGCCATTTTGTTGTACTGTTTCCATACTGCAGGTGTACTTCACATATTTATGCTATATAACCTTTTGGGCCCTGGAACATAATTTTATAGAAAATCTAAAATTAATGTTAAAACAAAACCAAATTATGAAATAGGCTGGTTTCATAATTTACCAATGATCATTTCACATAGACTTTATGTCTTTCACTTTACAAACGATGATTTTCCGTTATAACTATAAATCAAATGATGTTTTTTATTCACCTAATTCATTATAAAGTTTATTCAACAGCTTTAAAAAATTCGAAATTGAAATGAATAGTCTAGGGAACATACTGTATTAATGAACTCTACTGCATATAATTTGTGAACATTTACATGATTTGTACACTTTGAACTCCCTTTCAGGCTGAAAGGGACTGAAAAAATTCATACCGAGAAATTCTTTAAATACCCCTCTAATATTTATTCTATTCTCTATGGATAGGTCACTTGGCGTAGCTGTGGGATTGTTTGTTTTTATGCATTTGTGTGTGTTTGTCCAAATCTAATCTGTAAAGAATAAATTCTGAATCTGTTTCTGAAATATTCTTTAAACTTTTCTAGATTTATTTTCATTCTTTAAATCCAGAGATTTAACAGTTCAATACTGTTCCGCTGTTCAGAGGAATAGACGTTCAGAGGAGTACTTGTTCAATACGGTATTTGTTCATTATGATGGATGTTATGATTTTGGTTCAGCATGTGTTAAGATTAAGTTGTTGACTAATTTGTAAGAAATGAAATTATTTTTTATATTTAAAATACTAGGATTCCAGGGCACTTTGTACCCCCTTTGACAATCATAGCTTTAGGGGATTTGAGCCCATTGTTAATCACAAAACGAGTTTTATTTCTGTCAGCTCTTCAGAACATAACTTCAGATAAAACAGATCAATCCTTTCAGGTAGGATAAACATTGGGATTTATCCATTTCAAAGTTGAAACTTGAGAAAGGAAAACTAAAGCAGGAACATTCTTATAAATTGAATAATGTTGGGATATTTAAAATACTAGGATTCCAGGGCACTTTGTACCCCCTTTGACAATCATAGCTTTAGGGGATTTGAGCCCCCCTAGTCCCCCCCCCCTATTACACCCTATAGTATAAATAAAAACTATTGAATAGTATCCTAAATGTTTCCTGGTTAAATGTTATTTTCGGTAACAATAACATATTTTATGCTTTTTTTGGGCATTTTCTTTGATTGATATGAGAAAATTTTTATTTAAATTATATGCAACGTAAAGTAGCATATTTTTATTGTAGACTGCTTTTTGGTAATTTTTTCTTTTAAAAGTAGAAAATTGGTATTTTTAGGCGTTTAGAAAATACTTTACTGTTTATACCAATCTCACTCTGGCCCGTAGTAAATTTGAATTCGAACAGGACCTGCCCAGTTTGTACCGGCCTGCCAGATAACAGCGTGTACTGACCCGATCCTATGGTAGCCCGGTTCCATATTCTGTACAGTACGTCGCCCTAACCAGACTAACATACGACAGGGGTCAATTTTCTTGGCATAGTCCCGTCGGAGGGCTAACTATGACAACTCCCATGGAGCGTTCAGACTTTTTACAGTACCCGGCCTAATCCTAGGCCTATTTGACCGACCCCACTGGCTTAGTCCACCGTGATCTAGAAAGGAATTAAATTCAGACTTTTTCAAGTACTTTTCTTGCAAAAATACCACAATTCTAGGACTTCGAATACGTCAAATATTTGCCATTGACTTTGTCTTTCTCAGGGCAAATGAAAGCCATTTGCAATGCATATTTTTCTTGTTGTGTTTGTTTAATAACAACAAGTTGTCCAAAATTATGTTGAGAACTCTTTTTATTGAATAAAGTTTGAAGGGAGTGTAACAAGTTGTTGACAATCACGATATTGCCTGGGGGGATTTATATTCCCCTCACCTCATAATTCCCTGGCCAATTTCCCCAACAATTGAAGGGGGGGGGGGATTGTTTCTTGAAAAATAGCTGAATAAAGGGATGAGAAAACAAGGTTTATATTTAGATCGTGATAATATTCTATTACTACTTTATACCCTCTTATTTAATGACAAGTTTAGGCTAGAAAAAGGAATTACATAATTCTTAGATGTTTAAAAGTAAATGTTAAAATTACAAAAATAATATTCGTATATATATTAAAAAATTATAAAATGCATAAACACTCCACGGTTGATCGATTTTTGAACATTATAGTTGCGCGCAGAAGCTTTGTGTACCGTGTGAACTAATCTAAATTTTTAGCTCTAAAACTTTAGGATATAATCACTGCTAAAGTTTGAAAAAGATCTACACAGTTCCAAAATATTTTTTTTCTTGAATTTATCATGTCATATATCATTTGCTTCGTAATTTTCCAGAAAGATGAAATATGATAAACGAAGAAATTGATGTGTAATATCATAATTTCTGTAAATTTTTTTTTTACTTTCTTAAGCACTTTTGGAGGCGATTATCTCCTAGAATTGAAGAGGTTTCAACCTAAAATTTTCAGGAATTACTCACAGTATGTAGTGAAATGGAAAAAAATACCGCGCGCGCCATTTTTTAAAACTAGAAATCATTTTTGGACACCATTATATAGAACATTTTTGGAGTAATGTGACCCACTTTCTTTACCTTTAATACATTCATAAAGAATTTGTATGTGTTTTTGTTTGGGTATTTTTCTGTATTTTTGTGTACTTTGTGTATTTTTGTGTATTTTATGTATTTTATGTATGTTTTGAATTGTGAGCCAATTCATAATTTACCAAATTTAATTTAATTAGAGAAATCAAAACCAGACCAATCCAAACAAAGCCTAATGAAGGTTATCATTAGGACCATTAATATTATCTGCATCTTTATCTATATCTATCTATCTATCTATCTATCTATCTATCTATCTATCTATCTATCTATCCATCTATCTATCGTTATATCTATCTATCTTATATATATACATATATAAATCTATATCAGTCCATTTTTTTCTGTCAAAATGAATAGACAAAAGAAAGCAGACAACAAAATTGGGTGATCAAAAGAAATTAATGAATAATTATTATATATATTGTTATATTCTTTTTTTTCGATTCCCTTTTGTTGAAATCTTGATATAAAGAGGATTTCAAATAAAATTTATATTTTCAGATGGTGAAATGAAGAAAGATGGCCGGAATTATACAAAGCGTATTTTCTAAGGAACAACCAAATCTGTATAATTTATCCATTTCAAAGTTGAAACTTGAGAAAGGAAAACTAAAGCAGGAACATTCTTATAAATTGAATAATGTTGGGATAATTGTCCAAGCAAGCTTTTATACTTTTTCATTAAAGGTTTTACAAGATAAACATTTTAGAGATTGTTAAGGACGGATTTCTCAATTTAAGTATAGTGTTACAATTTTACAATCTTCCAATTTTTTTTTGGAGCGGTTTTAGGTCGAAATTATTGTGTTGTTAAATCCTTAAGAAAACATGTTAATCAGTATCTTTGCAGCCCGACGGGTTAAGTAAATTTCTTTAGAGATATCTCTGACCAATCAGAAGCCATAGAAATTCTGCTCTCGGCCAATGAGAGTTGGCGAAAATATTTGGCAGCTGTTTTCACCTGATGAAGCATTTATTTGCTCTGAATTAAAAGTTCTTATCATTGCCACTTCATACACAAATTCTGAATGGGGAAATGAAATTAATTAATTAATTAAGATTTATCTGAAAAAAATTGGGAAAACAAAATGACGACGGTGTAACTTTATATATTTGGTTTGGCTCAGGGTATTTACACACTGAAAGCGCCGGAAGCTGTAAACAAGTTTAAATCTCTAGCTTCACACGTGGGATTATACGTTGGTATAGTCGTTTATACAGCGATAGGAGCAAAGGTAAGACAGGCTGTACCAGTTAGGTTTCATCTTTTTACAATACCTGAGATGGAATTTAAAGAATTTGAGCCGCGGTTTAAATCCGCCAAAACCCGGTTTAAATTAAGCACCGGCTTAAATCTTGAATTATTTGATACAATTTTAAGTGGCACCAACCATATTTAAACCGCGGCTTAAATTTAAACCGCCGCTAAAATTCTTTAACTTCGGCCACTGGTCTATCATAGGCCAATATGACCTAGCTCCTTTAGCTTAGATTAGTGTGAAGAAAGTTTAAAATTTATGCAATAATAATTCCCATGTCATTTGCATTTAATAGTCTGTAATTGTACTGTACAGCTAGGGTTGTTAATCGTTTTTGAAAAAAATCATGTTTTGTTTCGTTTTTCGATCGTTTTTATAAAAACAATTAGTGGCCATATTTTATACAATTGTTTTTTAAAAAACGATCGGTTTTAAAAAATAATTGTCATTGATAAATATGTTAACGATCGTAAACGAAGGGTGTCGTTAACTATCTTTAACGAAACAGCAAACGGTATTTTTTAAAAAAAACGATCGTTTTAAACAAACATTTACATGCAATTTTATCGAATGTTGTCTTACATGACGTTAAAAAGTCGCGGGGGAGCTAAAACTTCTTGATATTTTCTTTAATACTACTCAATGATGGTTTCCTCTCTCCTCCTCTCTTCGTTAACGATCTTTAACGATTTTGAACGAAGGATCGTCGTCGATCGTTAACGAATGGTCGTCGTTAACGAAACGACAATCTTTTTAAAACGATCTTTTCGTCGTTGTTTTCATAACGAAAAAATTAAAAACACTAACATCCCTATGTATAGCTTGAACTGAATGATGTACAGTGATGTAAAGCAAAAGAAATACTGTTAAATGTCATGTTTTTTATTGTGACTTTATTTTTTGTATATTTAGTTTATTCTTTCCTTTTTTAAATTTATCTAACGGAGACATTTCCGGGAAAAAATGAACAATTTAAGGCGAATAAAATATCTAAAAGTTTTCAATAGTTTTTAAGAAGTATATTTTAACTGTGTTTGAACAATTAAAATCTCTTTAATGAAACTCTGGCTGGCCTGGGGGAAGGAGGAAATATCTTAATAATGAAAAATTAAGAAAATCTAAAAAGATCTAAAAGAAATTAAAAAAGTTTACAATTTAAAAAATAATTTTTTTTCAGATATTTCAGACTATAGAGCATCCTTATGAGAGAGACACGCTTGAAACATATCAGGAGAGTAAAAACAAAAAAAAAACAATAAAAAATGAGCAAAAATAATGTCATGCATTTTTCTCATTTCTAAGAGAATTCAAAAGTCAGCAGTATGAAACAAGATTGATAAACTTTTTTTGTCATTTATCTGTAGAGTTTCAAAATATCACTAAGCTCCAAAAAGTTCATCTTAAATTGGTCCAAAATGAAAAAATTTGTCCTCAAACTTTACAGAGAGGGTTTACAGAGATCAAAACTTTTGTGATTCCCGGGATTTAGCATAGTTTATCTTTTCTTGAAGGATTAAGATAATTCCTTTTGAACATCCAGTTGGCGGAACACACACTCTATATTACGAAATAAAAAAAATTGCTTAATTGGCAGCAAAATTTAGATGACAATTTTTTGTAGAATTTAAACAATTTTTTGTAGACTATAAGCATGTTTTTTTTTTGTAGAATTAGCAACTTTTTGAAGAATATAATCAAATTTTTTTAGAATATAAGCAATTTTTTTGTGGAATATAAGCAATCTTTTTTAGAATATAAGCAATTTTTTGTGGAACATCAGCAATTTTTGCATAATGTAAGCAATTTTTGTGGAATATAACCATTTTTGTGTGGAATATAAGCTTTTTTGGAATATAAGCTTTTTGTGGAATATAAGCTTTTTGTGGAATATAAGCTGTTAATGGAATATAAGCTTTTAGTGGAATATAAGCCATTTTTTAGTATATGAGCAATTTTGGTATATCATAAGCAATTTTTTGTGGAATATAAGCAATTTTTTGTTGATCATAAGCAATTTTTTGCTGAATATAGCAATTTTTTGTAAAATTAAACAATTTTTTGTAGAATATGACCATTTTTTGTTGTAGAATATAAGCAATTTTTTGTAGAATATAAACAATTTTTGTAGAGTATAAGCATTTTTTTGTATAATATAAGCAATTTTTTGTAGAATATAAACAATTTTGTAGAATATAAGCAATTTTTTTGTAGAATATAAACAATTTTTGTGGAATATGAGCATTTTTTGTAGAATATGAGCGATTTTTGTTGAACATAAATAATTCTTTGATTTTGTAATGAATAGTGCATGTCAGAATTGGTAAAAGGGATTTAGAACAATTGTCATGAGTTCCAAATTCCACACCGGTGGGTTATTTCACTTAAAAGATCTGACCTCTTTACACATTTAAACACAGTAGAACATAATATACAAGCTTGAGAACCCAGCTTTTCTTGAAGTTTTCCCTACTATAGTCAAACCATTCTTTCCAAAATCAAAACTTAAGGCAAATCGGTCAAACAGACAAACATTCAGAGATTACTACTTTATATATATAAATAACTATTAGAAAACTCTAAAAATAATGTGAAATAATTATTATTAGTTAGTTTCTTATGTTTAATGTTTTTGTTTGCTTGGAAGGCGTTGTTAATCACAAAACGAGTTTTATTTCTGTCAGCTCTTCAGAACATAACTTCAGATAAAACAGATCAATCCTTTCAGGTAGGATAAACATTGGGGGGCGGGGGGGATGGGCCCCCCTCATAAGTTCCATATTCCCCCCCCTCATAAACTCCCTCTTTCGCGCTCGATATCGTTTTCAATATAACTTAATTTAAACTTTTTATTCTTATGAAAAAGGGATTCGAGATTTTTCTACAAGTTCATTTTTGTCTTTTTCGGGAGGATGGGGGGAGGGGGGGGGGCATGTTTGGTAAAAATTTGAAAAAACAAAGAAAGGAGTTTTTTTTTATTTTAGCAATCCTCCTAATTGATCTTCTTTTAGAACTTATAATTGTATCCTTCTCTTTTAGTTTTACTCTTCACACACAATTTTTTCCATTTCACAAATTTTCTCATTTCACTATATTTTTCCAGTTCACCAATTTTCTCATTTCACTATTTTTTTCCATTTCACAAATTTTCTCATTTCAATATTTTTTCCATTTCACAAATTTTATCATTTAACTATTTTTTTTCCATTTCACCAATTTTCTCATTTAACTATTTTTTTTCCATTTCACCAATTTTCTCATTTCACTATTTTTTCCATTTCACTTATTTTCTCATTTCACTATTTTTTTCCATTTCACAAATTTTATCATTTCACTATTTTTTCCATTTCACAAATTTTCTCATTTCACTATTTTTTCGCAAATTTTTCTTTATCCATAATTAATTTCAATATCACAAATTTTTTCATTTTACCAATTTTTCCAATTCAAAACTTTTCTCCCATTTCACAATTTCTTTTTTCTTTTACTGCTTTCTCTTCTCTTCTTTTTTACTATAGTTTACTATGGTTTACTATGGTTTACTATGGTTTACTATGGTTTACTATGGTTTACTATGGTTTACTATGGTTTACTATGGTTTACTTTGGTTTACTATGGTTTACTATGGTTTACTATTGTTTACTATGGTTTACTATGGTTTACTATGGTTTACTATGGTTTACTATGGTTTACTATGGTTTACTATGGTTTACTATGGTTTACTATGGTTTACTATGGTTTACTATGGTTTACTATGGTTTACTATGGTTTACTATGGTTTACTATGGTTTACTATGGTTTACTATGGTTTACTATGGTTTACTATGGTTTACTATGGTTTACTATGGTTTACTATNAGTAGCACTACTGCACCTCTTCAAACTTTAAAGGGAGTGTGCACTACAACCTCTTCAACTTTAAAGGGAGTGTGCACTACCACCTCTTTAACTTTAAAGGGAGTGTGCACTACTACCTCTTCAACTTTAAAGGGAGTGTGCACTACCACCTCTTCAACTTTAAAGGGAGCGTGCACTACTACCTCTTCAACTTTAAAGGGAGTGTGCACTAACACCTCTCCAACTTTAAAGGGAGTGTGCACTACCACGTTGAATATGTACCCTCTTTTGTTCTAGTTTAAAGATTAAAATCTCACAGCGTTTTCTAGAAATGCCGCGGTAAAAATCGATCAAATTTCAGATGGAAGAAAATCACGCCAATTTCCCTTTGTTTGATAAAATGACATTTTTTAGGATTTAGACACAGCGTTGACTGAATATGAAGAAATATGCAGCCAAGCTTCAGATGCAGGTAATTTTATATAGTCAGAACCACAGATGAATTTTCCTAGAAGGGTCTCGTTCATTTGGTGTACCGTACTGTTTTGCCTGGAATAATCTGTTTGTGTACTGTACAACTCGCTCTAAAAATCATAACTTTTATCAAAAAGAGTATTCTTATCCAGAGTTTTTGGTTTTTTGATTATGGCAAAGTATTTAAAAATGTCCTTGATACAAAAATTTATTTCCTCCGTTTGATACAGACAGTTTTTTTTAATAAGTTGAAATCTGAAAAAAAGGCAGACCACATTTTGAAATTCCCGGGACTAAGAAAATTTTATGATTATTAAAAATATAAAGTATCAAAGAAGACCTTCAAGTCGTCCTTTAACTGTCATGTTTCGAGAGACACTCTATTTCTCAACAAGAACACATGTGATATTTTTCTGCTTAACGCTGTCCCCACGGGGGGGGGGGTAATTTTAGCCCCTTCCCTCTCTAAATCCCATGTTTGATGTCCAAATATAACAAATGATACATCATTGGACAGCTCTTAAGCTTTACTTTTAGAAACTGCAAATAAAGTTGCGAATTTGCAAAATTTTGAGTTTTTATATACATTGTAATAATATTTGCAAAATATTTCCAAAAAATTATTAAACATAACTTCTTTAAAAGCCCTTGACCATTCCATTTTAAATATGCAAAAATTTTTGCAAAATTTTAAATAACCTGATTTTTAATCAAGAAAAACTAAAAATGTGCAAATTTCCTTTGACAGGTTGTTTGCAAAATATTTCCAAAAAATTATTAAACATAACTTCTTTAAAAGCCCTTGACCATTCCATTTTAAATATGCAAAAAAGTCAGCAAAATTTTATACAACCTGATGTGTAATTAAGAAAAAAACAAAAAATGGGAAAATTTGAAAAAATTTCTTTGCAAAACTGTTTCCTATAAATGTCATAGGTTTTCCAAAAAGCTAAAAAAACAAAAAGCAGGAATAGGGTTAATAAGCAATCAAATTTTCAAGGTTTTTTTAACGCTATTTTCTAACCTTTATCTTTTTTTGAATATTTGAAATAATATAATTCTTACATTTATATTTTCTGTTCGTTCAGGGGTGGATATTGTGAGTAAAGAGTTCAGTTTCAATTGGGACTATATACAATCCGTCTTCTTCTCTCTAACTATACTAACTACAATAGGTAGGATGGACGAGGATTTATAGACGGGAATACCATGACAGACTTTTTGCCATTAATGTTAACGCATTTACGCAAAAATGACAGATTTTGCCAATCATACCCATAGGCAACAGTTGAAAACGCGCAATTACAATGTCAAGGGTTATAAAAAAAGAAAGCCAACTGAATCCAAACGCGTTACTAGATTCTTATGGCTGTCCGTATCTCTCTCTGCCGTGCGCGCCCCCAGATAAAGTTCCGCTGTGGGATACTCTTACTTTTAGGTTGTATTACCAAAAAAACTTTTGTCATTCAATTAAGTTGACATGAGAAGCACAACTAGGGTGCCCCCCCCCCCCCACGGACATTTTCTTGGGAGAAATGAGAAAAAAGTTCTAAATTCTAGGATTTACCTTTACGCTTAAAAAAAGTTAGGAATTAGTGAGAATTTATTTTGATACATTTGTTGTCATTATTTTAGAAAAACATCGTAAAGCTATTCTTAATTCTCGCAATCAACAAAGACGTTATCAGCTAAACTTATTCTTTAACATATGAGTGACGCAATTAGTGCATTAAGTACGCATTTAACGCAAAATTACCTTGATTCCTGTTATCAATGTTGTTAATGTTTTTTACTTTTCTTGCCTTCTACATTTTATCTGTTTTCAATGATTTTAACATTTTTAAATGTTTAAATAAATTTCCTTCGGCTTCGTTGTTGCAAAAATGCTGATGATTTGCAGTATAAACAAATACAGTGATTTGGCTTCAGGAGGTATAAAACCTAGTGTGCAAATTTAGGACGAAATCGTGCAAAAAATGTGCAGAGTTTGATGCATGTTTCAAGATACACAAGCTCCATAGATATACAAGAATACAGAGTACAAATATACTTGCCGCAAACCTTTATATCCAATTTACTGTATGTCATAGCTAGTACCATAGCTAAATTGCCATTTTCAATTTCAACTGGAACCCTCTGGTATGGTGAAGACGACATAAGCGATCTATATTCTTGTATATCTATGACAAGCTCTCAATCATGGCTTAGGGGCATGGGGAAAATGAAATAAGGGGGGGGGGGCTGTGAACTACAGGGTTATAATCAAAGGATGAGACCGTAAAGACGACCTGAAGAATAACGATTTTTTAAAAATGACTATTTGAAGTTTAAAAAATTTAATGATTAGACAATTTAATAGAACCAAGTTAAAAATTGCAGGGATTTGTGAATATAAGGCTCATTTAAAGGAACTGTATACAAAATTAGACTCAATTAAAGGGACTGTAGACAAAATTAGAGACTTTTTAAAGGGACTGTAGACAAAATTAGAGATTCATTTAAAGGGACTGTAGAAAAATTAGAGACTCATGTAAAGGGACTGTAGACAAAATTGAAGACTCATTTATAGGGACTGTAGACAAAATTGGAAACTCATTTAAAGGGACTGTAGACAAAATTGGAGACTCATTTAAAGGGACTGTAGACAAAATTAGACTAATTTAAAGGGACTGTAGATAAAATTAGAGACTCATTTAAAGGGACTGTAGACAAAATTAGACTAATTTAAAGGGACTGCAGATAAAAATAGAGACTCATTTAAAGGGACTGTAGACAAAATTAGACTAATTTAAAGGGACTGCAGATAAAAATAGAGACTCATTTATAGGGACTGTAGACAAAATTGTAGACTCATTTTAAGGGACTGTAGACAAAATTTGAGACTCATTTAAAGGGACTGTAGACAAAATTAGACTAATTTAAAGGGACTGTAGATAAAATTAGAGACTCATTTAAAGGGACTGTAGACAAAACTAGAGACTCATTTAAAGGGACTGTAGACAAAATTAGACTAATTTAACGGGACTGTACATAAAATTAGAGACTAATTTAAAGGGACTGTAGATAAAATTAGAGACTCATATATAGGGATTGTAGACAAAATTATACTTTTTTTGCCCTACCACGAGTAATCATTCAAAGCATCGAGAGCAGAGACATCTGGCGGCCAAGTATTTCAGCGTTTAAAGTGCATTGCAAAACGAATAAAAAATATTATAAATTATTAACTACATATGAATGCGTCGAAAAATAATCGATGACTATTGGTTGTAATATCTGAATGATTTGTTTGAAATTAAATTATTTTTTTACGATCCGAGTCGTATGTATTCTAAATTTGTATGGACTAAACGTTCTTCAGTATAAGTCATTTTTAATAATTTTCTCTTAACAGACGCAACAGATAAAAGTAAGATTACTAGAGATCAAAAGCGATTATTTTTCGCCATACGCCCCCTTTAATTTTTCGCGAACACTACCTTTAAGAATATTATATATCTAGAATAAGTCCCTTTCAGAATATTATATCTAGGATCAGTTCCTTTAATAATATTATATAGCTAGAATCAGTCACTTCAATAATATTATATCTAAAATCAGTCTCTTTAAGAATATTATATATCTGGAATCAGTCCCTTTAAGAATATTATATATATCTAGAATAAGTCCCTTGTAGAATATTATGCATCTTGAATCAGTCCCTTTAAGAATATAATATAGCTAGAATCAGTCCCTTTAAGAATATTATATATATCTAGAATCAGTCCCTTTAAGAATATTTTATATCTAGAATCAGTCCCTTTAAGAATATTATATATCTAGAATCAGTCCCTTTAATTATATAATATCTAAACTCAGTTCCTTTAAGAATATAATTTATCTAGAATTAGTCCCTTTAAGAATATTATAGACACTCTGTATATATCTAGGATAGAGACACTCTGTATATATCTAGGATAGAGACACTCTGTATATATCTAGGATAGAGACACTCTGTATATATCTAGGATAGAGACACTCTGTATATATCTAGGATAGAGACACTCTGTATATATCTAGGATATGGTAATTTTGCTGCGGTGACAAGAGGAGGGAGAATTTTCTGTTTATTATTTGGAATTATTGGAATTCCATTCATGCTCTCAGGTAGGTTCTATTATAATTCATGCTCTCAGGCAGGTTCTCTTATAATTCATGCGCTCAGGTTGGTTCTATTATAATTCATGTTCTCAGGTTGGTCCTGTTATAAGTTATAACTCATACTCTCAGGTTGGTTCTGTTATAATTCATACTCTCTGGTTGGTTCTGTTACAATATATGCTCTCAGGTTGGTTCTGTTATAACTCATACTCTTAGATTGGTTCTGTTATAATTTATGCTGTCAGGTTGTTTCTATTAATTCCAACGTTTGTTTTCATGAAAGAAATCTACTTACCCAAAAAATTGTTTAACAAATATCAAATCAAGTAATTTCTACTGTATTCTAGATTAATATAACAGTGCTATATTTCTACGCAATTCTAGATTAATATAACAGTGCTATATTTCTACGCTATTCTAGATTAATATAACAGTGCTATATTTCTACGCTATTCTAGATTAATATAACAGTGCTATATTTCTATCAAATGACTTCTTTCGGCGTTTTTAAGCAAAGAGAGAAAAAAGTTTAAAGATAAATAATAAATTGGTTTAAATCAAATATATCCCTTATATGCCCCCTTCCTGTATACGCCCCTGTTCCACGTATAAACTAAATCATCCTCCTTGTCTAGTCATAGTTCGTGTTCCCCTTTCTCCCCCTTTCTTCCCCTTTTATGGGTCGTCAAATAAAAATTTTATGATGAAAACAACCTTCAAATCTAATATTTTGATGGAGTTTAATTGCTTCTATCTATCTATCTATCTATCTATCTATCTATCTATCTATC